AAAGAGGAAATAATGCAAGGAGGTAGGAAATGAGATTCCCTATGTGATTGACCATGGGTCCCCTTCTTGTCACTTTTATTGAATGATGGACACTCTTCTAGCATGAGAATGTTCAGAAACGATGTAAATTTCTTGATGTGTGCACAAACCTTCTTTCTTCGTGACCAGTTATCTTTTTAAAGTTACATTTTTAAAATTTTTAGAAGTTTTACAATGTGATTAGAGTAATTTGTATTTTATCATAAAATCTACATAAAAGTGGTCATTCAACATGTTCTTCCAGTTACGTAATCTTGGTTGCTGCTGCTGCTGCTGCATATTGTTGGGCACTTTCTCAAGAGAGATGGAGCTTAGAAATACATGAAGAAATCTTTGTGCATTGATTCACCCCTGGAAAATAATATTTAGGGTCCTTTTTGGAATTGTCTCTGTATTCCAGTTATCTCAATGTCATTTGTTTCTGAAGTTGAGTTTGTGCTGAAGGATATCGTAGATGATCTGCTTGTATTCATATTCTCTTGTGCATACTCATGTCAGGTTTCTGACAGTATCTGGTGCCTTATTCCACAGTTTATTTTGCAAGATAATTTGATCTTAGTAATACTGCATTATCAACATTTTAGATAAGAAGTTGAAGAAGTCAAAAAGGCACTAGATAGTGTCAGAAACCTGACCGGAGAGTGCGCAAAAAAAAATTTTTTTGCTAGTTGTTTTTGTTCTGGATAATGGATGTTTGTAACCTTTGTTTCTAGCCCTTCCTTTTTGTTCTTTCTTAGATCACTGAAGATTCCAAGTTTTCTGCTGCCAGTTCAAAATCAAACTGTTCTTCTCTTACTGTACATTCTTCCTCTCCTTCTCTGCCTCATCCTGTCAGCTCCAGTCAAGGTAATCATGTATGTATCATGCTGCTGGGCTGGGCCTCCTGGTTCTGCCTTTCTAGGCTGCATTGATATACATGAATTTCTGTACATAGAAAATGGGGTGGTACCATGAGTGGAAGTGTTAAGGCAAATGCTCTCTGTATCACCCCACAGCTCTTTGGTAATATCTGTTCAGATATCTGGTAATACGTTTACAAATAGTAAACGAAAGAGTTCACATTCTGTGGTCAGTTCCACCTTAATAAACCACAAGAACACATCAAGCTGCCTTACGCTGAACGTGACCAGTGGTCCATCAAGGTCAGTATTGACTACCCAAACTGACAGCTTTTCTAGGTCTCAGGTAGAGGTCTCACACATCACCTGTTACCTGATCCTTTCAACAGAGCATGCTGGGAATTGAACCCGAGCCTTTCTGCATGCCAAACAGATGCTCTACCAGTGAGCCATGGCACCTCCCTTGATGACAGACTTGCCTGTGAGGCATCAGTAAAATGAGCATTGCTCTATAGATTGCTTTAATTGTGGAAGAGAGTATTGCAAGAAGATAAAAATAATTTGAGTTAAAATTGGACTATTGGACTATTTTTCTTTGAATGTTGAAAAGATTGTTGTAGGAAGAGGGACATTTCCAGAATATGTGCTCTTTATTTGGGAATGTACAAGATATAGCACTTTACTCTGCTAAATCTCAGGACTATTTGAACAGTATTTTGTCTTTGAAAGAAAGCAAGGACTCTGATAGTGCATTACTGATTATTTGTGCAAGACAGTGCATAGCTGATTATGAACCTGTTACTTCTCACTATCAGTGTTTTCTGTCATGTACCAGTAAAAATGAGATTTTCTCCCAAATTATCTGCTGTTGCTTTTTAATGTGATTGGTTTTGTAAATTTCTTTCCAAGCATCAATATGACTTATCCAAAGGGTATGCTTATTTAATTCGATTGAAACCCCTCCCCGCACAAAATTGTTGCCCTAGGTAGGATTCGACTACTGACGTAGTCTACTTGTAAACCGCTCTGAGACCCACTAGGGGTCATGAGCGGTATAGAAATCACATGTAAATAAATAAATAAATAAATAATTCATTTTATTTATTATGATTCAAGATCAGCCAACACCAACATAAAAGCATAAGCTAAACACAAATAAAACATATATAAAAATAAAAATTCTTAACTTTGTTGAACACTAATTTCAGTAATAAGAAGACTGAAGCATCTGCTTCTTCTATGAGCACAAAATTTATCCACCTTAAGAGTAATTTCATTAAGGCAATTTGCAAGAAGAATGGATATGGAATATTTATCAGATCTGCCTGGAAACCTGGATAAAATAGGAGTAATGTACAGACAATGAATATCCTTATAAAATTAACAGGAAGTAATAAGTGTTTAACTGTTTCAACAGTGTTCAGTTGGCAGAAATACAAATGGTGGCAATATGGGATACCTAAATACTTGCCTTGCAGCAGAGCTGAAGGTAGAAAGTTGGAAAGATGCTCTGTGGTATTTAGGATGTTCTAAGCCATAGAGGTAATTCACTGCAATTTTGGCCATGATTTCCTACCGCCAGATAAGAATTGACCCAGACTATCAACTTGAAGGGCTATATCCCGATTCTTTGTTTGATGGTTTCTTTGGTGCCCAAGAACCAAAGAGCTGAAGGAGGAAGCCCATAAGATTGTAATTTCTTCTCAACTGCTTCTGCACAGTCTGAATGAAAATTATTTGGGAAAATTAAAGGAGTTAATCCAAGAAGGTTCAGGTTTCATTTAAGCCAAAAGCATGCCACTTGCTACTAGTTGTGCTCTTCTAATGGCACCATTAGAGGGCATTAGAAACACAGCATCGGACTGAGGTGCTTCCAGGAAATGGAAGTCTTTATAGAGGCAGATCTGTGCACCATATAAAATTTGAGGTATCACCTTGCCCTAAAAGATTTAATCACATGTGAACCTCCTTTTAAAAAAAGAATCTCAGGGAGATATAAGTCTTATCATATAAAATTATAATCATATTACCAGTTTATAGCTGATTGTGTAAATATGTATTTTGAGAGTAGGCAAGATGGCTTTATAGGAACATGTGTATAGGGTTTTTTATAAAGGGGTAGTGCCTTGTAGAAAGACCACATAAGAATGAACATGAAAAAGTTGTGATTTTTAAATTATCAGAAGACATTTGATCATAAATCAGTAATTTTAGAATCTTTTTGATTTTGTAAAGCCTTGTTGGACTTGTTTTCTAGAAACATCCACAAATTAATGTCCATTGTGGTATTTTATTTTCCAAGCTATGACAACTGAAGGTGTTTTTAACAGTAACATCTGTTTCCATTCATTATTAACCATGTCATATGTCACTGGTAAAGTTGTTTTTATGGGAAAAACTAGATTTAAATATTTTTACAGGAAATAGAAAAGTACAAATAATGCTTCAGCTTCCTCATAACTTTTACCTTCTGCTACTGCCAGAATTCAGTGGGTTGTTTCTTTTTTCTGTTAAAGCAATGATTAGAGTGTGATGTTGCAGTACACTTCTGAATGCTTTGAAGCAATTACTTGGCATGTGTTAGTATTCCAAACAGAAGAAGCTGTGAAGTGGAATTGTATTTGCAGTGATGCATGGTACTTTTCTGCTGTGATCCTAAAGTACCAAGTGCCATTGAAATCTGTTAGGCTGACTAAGTATTAGGATTGAGCTGTCAATTGATTTTACTCAGTTCTGTTATCAAGGACTACCTCATGCAATCATACAGCTACATGTACTTTAATTGCATGGTTTGGTAGCTAAGAATGCTTAGATACCTGGTTTTTATTTGTGTTTTAAGGAGTCAGAATTTAGGGAGATTTCAGCTTTACAGAGTTGGAGAACCACAAACTATAGAGTTTGTGTATTTTTAAAGATCAGGAAGCCAATCCTACTGGTTCCTTATGCATGTCATTGGGCACATGGCTCACTCCTGTACATGCAGCTTCCCAATTACAGGAGGGCTGCCTAGAAAGGAGAAAATTGGTGGTAAGCAACTCTACGTGCAGTTTCATGCATAGCATAGGTGGAGAGAATGTGGGAAAATGTACCCTGAGATTTTTTTTGTTGGCAGTGTACTGAATACCACAAAATTCCTCAATTGGTTAAGAATGCTGTCTAGAAAAATCTTCATAATCCCAATCCAGATCCTACACACATTTCAGGGTGCATAGAGAACAATCAGAGAACATGGGCTGCCTTGTTTGTTTCAGTGGAGTCTGGAGATTTACTTGTGCATGCAGATCATTTGTTTCCATGGAACATGGGCAGCCTGGGAGGGATGGACATCAGAGTTCTGGGATCCCTAAGTAATCAGTGTGTTAATATGTCTAATAGATAACGTTAATTATTAAACCTATAAGATTTTATGCATATTAAGTATCTCTGAAATCTGGGGTATGCGGCTGAGTGAGATGATAACAAGGTGGTAGAATGGACTCAGCAGGTGAGGAACTGCATTTTTTTTTCAGAGCTACCTGTTGTGATGGACTGCCCTTTTTAAAAGCTTAGAAGTGCTGTACAAACAGCTGAAGGACTGTGAAGAGGTAATTCTTCACAGAAACAGAGAGCCTTGAATGACAGGCTGCTCCAAGCAATCTGATTGGTTAGCATCAGCTGAGCAGAGAAAGACTTGAGAGCTGAATCCTGAGGGGATAGTCAGATTTCTGCCTTGACAGAGTGCAATCTGATTTCAGCCCTAGTTGAGAAGAGTCGAGTACTGATTGTTTATCAGCCCTAACTGAGAGCGGTTTAACACAGACAGGAGAACGGGGAGAAAGTTGGCAAGAAAGTTTGGGAAGTAGGCAAAAACTCCTATTCAGGCCAAGGACAGAAGATAGAGCTTCTAGAGAGAGAGAAAATTCCCTACCCAGTCAAACAGGGAGTTAGCTCTGAAGGGTGCAGAGATCCCTGGTCTGGTGTGGTTAGAAACTGCCTGTAGGGACCTTAAGAGTCAGTTAAAAATGCAAGATGAGTACTCAAGAGAAGAGAGTGTACCAGCGTTCTGGAAACCAAAAGAGTCAGAGAATACTCAAAGAAAGTGTACTGAAGTGTTTGGGGAAAACTCTGGAACAAAAGCCTCTAAACATAAAGATTTAAGTCACTGTGAAAAGCTTAAGAAACTCTCATTAGCTGGAAACATAAGAACTAAAGTCTGCATGTGTACTGATTTTAGTTATCTATATTGAGTTACCTCAGAAATTTTACCCCTGATTTCACCTGACCTTTCCCCTCTATGTTGAATAAAATATTTTGTTATTTTTGAATTTCAAAATGCCTTGAGTGCCATTTAAGTTGTATAAATGAAAGTGGGCTCCTGATCCTTCCCTCAGGTTCCTGGGCTGAGCCAACAGCCAAAATATTGTATTGGGACAGCCAGAATTCTTCAGCAGAGAAGATAACACATTACTAAGGTGGCTCAGTCAGTAAAGGGAAAGGGAAACGGAGGAAAACTTTTCCTCTGAGGGAGGGAAGTGAACAGAGCCGCCATGCCTGTCCATTAATAATTTGTAAGTGGAAAGTCAGTATAACATGCAAAGGAAGGGCAAGCTAGAATGAAAGGGGCAGGCCAGAACCTTTCTGCCAAAAATACTAATAGTTTATTTGCAAAGAGCTTTAAAAATATGACTTCTTGATCTGCAATTTGAAGTGGCACACCCCATTCTCCCATCTCATGTGTAGACTAGGCATGAACTGTCTCAAGCGTAGGGTAAGGCATGACATAAATTTATACATAAAATATGTGTAGCATATTTTGAAGTCAGTTTTGCTTGATTTCACACCCATGTTATTGAAGAGCTCTGTCTATCTGTTGTAGGAATAACTTGCAGAAAAACAGCCCTAGCCAGCAGTTTTTCATCAAGTAGTTTGACTCCTAAAAGCCATACAGTTACCCAAAGATGCTCTGAAACACCAGAAGCAGGAAGCAGAAGTCAGGTAATGGCATTTTTCTTCAATTGAATATAGTTGTGACCCTTTTTCTGTGAATGGGGTTTCTCAACATTTACATCATTTATTCACTTGTACTCTATTAGTGAATCCTAAATAGAATTACACCTTCTAAGCCCATTGCTTTAAATGGATTTAGAAGGGTATAACTCTGCTTGGGATTGTACTATAGGTTGTGCTTGGCTTTGGGATGCTTACTGAGAATTCTGATGCATGCAGAAAAAGACATTTAACATCTAAATTTTACAGCAAGAGTGTCAAACCTACGGCCTGCGGGCCTGGACAGGGCTTTAATCCAGCCCATGGCTCTCTTCCCACCCCCCCCCCCCGGTCATCACCCTCTCTTGCCTGTCCTTACCCTTCTGAGCTCAGGGCTGCCAAACTTCCAGCTTGCTCAAGCTCCTCTGGGCTCTATTGAAATAAATACATTGCAGCACAAAAAAAGTTGCAGAGAAAACACGGAATGGGCAGGCAAATTGAGATCTATTACCATCTTAAATATATAAAATTATTATCTATTATTGCATCAATTGTGAAATCGGCAATGATAATGTAATACTTTTAGAGCAGCTGAAATTCTCAATAAAATATCACAATCCTCTTTCACAGACCACATAGAGAGGAGAGAGCTATAAAAAAACTAAAACAGTTACAAATAATATTAGTCATAATAATATCAAATTATAACCTCTAAATTTTTCTAATAGCTATTATTTCCTTGTTGGTATAGTAGCCATATGCCGCCCTACTAAACCCAGAAAATCAGTGTACTTTTGGAGCTAAAATGTAATTAAACAGCCTTCAAAAAAATCTGTTTTCCACCATTGAAGATAGTAATTTCAGAGTTGTTTACAGGCCAAGGAAGTTCTAAAAGTTTCAAAAACGTCTTTCAAGTTCCTTTTAAAGGTGTCAGTGTCAAACCCTGGAAGTTCTTCTTTTTACAGGAGTTAGTATCTTTATTGTTAGCATCACTGATAGAGATGCTTTGGTTCTTGCTTTGTATAATAAGAGACTCCTGTGAGATGTTCTGCCTTTAACCATTGATTCCCCCTCCGGTGTGTCTTCTTTATAGGTGGTTGGCAAAATTGGACTTAATACCATTGATGGAGTAGAAATAGATATTGACTTATTAGGGTTGTGGGAGCACTGCAAACTGTCATTGTCAGGGATAAGTGAGGTCAAATTATCATCGTAGGCTTGAGTCTTTTACTTGCTGCTAGGCAGTTGTCTCCCAGGGATAAATAAATCAAAATACCAGGGATGAACAAATTAAGAGGTAGTGTGAATGGATTTTTCATTATGGTCTCTGGGCCCAGATAGACTACTCTGGGACTGTTTCCAGCAACAGACACAGTGCTCTGGGACTGGAATGACATCCCCCACAGTAGAATGATGGTTCCTAGCAATAGAATCTGTGTTCTGGGACTGGAATGACAGGACGCAGAATGGAATGACAGCCCCTGGGAGTAGCAGGAGCATTCTGGGAATGGAATGGGGGCCCTCATTCAATTCCCAGAACACTTCTGTTACTCTAAGGGGCTGTCATTCCACTCTGTGCTCCGCCATTCCAGTCCCAGAACACAGATTCTATTGCTAGGGACCATCATTCCACTCTGGGGGCTGTCATTCCAGTCCCAGAATAGTCTGTCTGGGCCCAGAGACCTTAATGGAAAATCCATTCCATATTTTCTTTGCAACTTTTTCTGTGTTGCAATGTATTTCAGTGGAGCCCATGCAAGTCAATTGGCATTCTTGGCTCCCATTATCTCCAGTTGCCCTTCAAGCCTCTCCTATTGTTTCCAGTTGGCAATTCTGTCATTCCTTTTAGTACATCAACCAAAATTATTATTTCAAACCACCCTGTAAAAAATCATGAGACCCTGGAGAGCCGCTGCCACTCTAAATAAACTGGGGGGGGGGGGGGCTTGCAGTGCTCAGCCATTTCATGTTTTCCTAGGCTTTGAGCATTTTGTATTATTAGTTTAAATTTTTAGTTTCTGCTGTGATCCTTGTGCTTTTTCTTGATGTTTTATTTTAAAATTGCATTGCCAAATCTCACTATTCCCCCCCATTTCCAATTTAGGTAGGTATCTTTTAAGGGGGGGCAGAGATTTGGGAGGTATCAGTTATCAAAAACTGTTAAATAAGCAAAATATCGCAAGAGTATTACTGTTTTAAGCATGTTAGTATTTTAAGTAAAAAAATAATATTTTAATTGTGTTTGTGTCTTTTATAAAGTTTATATCTCCACTACCTGGTGTTATATTTTATGACACACATGGCCGAGCCCGACAAAGTCCCATTTATGTCAGATCTGGCTCTCATAACAAATGAGTTTGACACCCCTGATCTACAGTATATCAGACAGGCTGTACAACGAACTAAAATTTATTAAGAAATCCCACAGTAACATTGTTCTTTGATTAGGTTCCTATGATCACAGTAATTCCATAGAAATTAAGATATGCCCTTTTATATTATGGTATAAGTGTTCTGTTGTCTGTTTTGTCTAAGGTACCTGCTTCAGAATTGGACATTTCTAAAGAAAACGAGAATGCTCATCACATGTGGTGAGAGAGTGGTTTCACTTTGATACCAGTCTACTTATTGAACGATGACATGTATCTGTAATGGTCAGAGACTTTTTCTAAAAAAGTGGAAAAGCAAGCAGTTCCATATTAATACCTCAGTAAAAATATACCAGGGTGTGCTAGAATTGTTTCTTGAAAAAGGAGATAGGGAATGCAAAGACAAGGCTGGCATCAGTATATGCCAAGGTGGGGCAGCTGCCAGGACCCAGGACTTCTAATGCAGTCCACAGCCACTGACCCTCACCCATACACCTCCCCTGCCACCAGTGTGTGCCCATGTTCCCAGCTGCCCAACCTCATTAAGGAAAGGTGTATTGTTGGTGCACAGTGGTGGCACTCCTGTTGGGAATGGCAGAAGCAACCCTGGCTACATATACTGGCCAGTGCTGTAAGAGCAAGGGTGTGTAGGTGGTGCAGGCTTGCAGGTGGGAGAAGGATGTGCAGGGAGGTTTGGGGCATGCAGGTGTCAGGGTGGAAAGGAAGGTGTGAGGGGGGCTCTGGTGGTAAACAATTGGGGTCCCATAGGCACTCTCTGCCCGGGATCCTCCCAAACATGGAACTGGACCTGAGCAGAGATGCAGGGGGGTGGGTATAGGCTCTCCAAATGTGCTGAATGTGTGAATCAACTAAAATGTTTGCTTCTGTCACAATGGCCATCACCTTAAATATGCTGCATATCTGTAATAATAGATAAGCAATGTGGCACCAGTATATTTTAGAAATAGAGTGACTGTTTTTAAATTGGACTAATATGATTTCTTCCTTTCTTTATTTGATTCTGTTTAAAGCTTGGACCAGTCCAAGGAAGAACCTGATGCCTTGCCTGACCCTTTTAATACTGTTATCCTACCTTTCACTTGTATGTCGTACACTGCCACAAATCAGGATTTTGTGCAACATCTCTCTGCCTTGATAGCAGAGGCTATGGAAAGTGCAGACCCTTTCATGGTGGAAGTTCAAAATACAGGGAGCCTTCTGAGTGATTCCACAGTTACAGATTCTGAAGACGGCTATTTTGAAATGGGACTTCATGAAGGAGACCATGTATTAGAGTTCACCACTTCTTCAGATATTGTTGCAACAGCTTCTGACAGCACAAAAACCGAACAGGATCACATACTCAAAGTCCTCTGGAGTTTTTCTATTCAGGTTCATAAAGAAATCAGGCAGTTTGCCTCCTGCTTGGTTTTGACCCATAGTGTGGTAGCTGTATTCGAGATTCCTCAAGACTCCAAAGGAAACTGCCAACATCTTTTTTCTGCCTTGAAACTAGCACTGTGTTTTCCATATTCTGATCTTACAGAATTTGGCTTTTTAATACCAGAAATATGTCTGATGCTGAAGTTAAAGAACAGTGACACCTGCTTATTTGTTGTTTCAGATTCTCAGAATCTGCAAGATTTTTATTCCTGTTTACATAGGTGGTGTTCTCAGTGCTGTGTGCCCACTTCAGCAAGTTCTGTACTGTACTGTGGCAAAGCAAGTTTGCAAGAATTTGTTTACCAGCTGATGGGATTTTATCACATTTCATCTGAAAACACAGAAATAAAAGGCTGTTTCCCTGTGTATCTTTTCTGTCATGATAAAGCCAATGCTCAGAAAGCCACGTGTCAGCTAGAAATAGCCAGTAGTGACAGAGCTTGTCCTAAATACGTTGGTGGTTCTACACTTTATTCAGGGTTTCCTATATCTGCTGAAGAGAGCCACTGTATGTTCCATCCCTGTTGGATATTTCTAACACCCCAGCACCTGCATATAGTGCAAGTTGACTTTAATGCATTGCCAGGTGAATACAGAGAGACTAAGGATGCACGGAGCGTATTCAACCTGAGCAGGATTCCACTGGCTTCCGTTCTTTTGCATCCTGCCAGTCATTCTATGCAGCAGGAAGGTTCATTTTCAGATGGGCATGTGCTGGAATTACTTATTGGCTACAAATTCATCACAGCCATATTTGTCCTACCTCATGAGAAATTCCATTTTCTAAGAGTCTATAGTCTTCTGAGGACACTTCTGCAAGACATCAAGACTATAATTATTTTCAAAGCTTCCAACAATGTAGAATCAGTCAGAAAATCCCTCTCTGACTCCAAGAGGCTTGGCCAGACTGCAAGGTGATGACTGCTTTTAAAGTATATGTTATGACCTGGGAAAGAGGATGTGTGCTTGAACATAAAGGTGAAAGCTTTATACAAGTAGTCTATTTCATGTAAACTGTCAGTGTGATGGCTTTGATTGCTGTGAGTTACAGCATGCTGTAAGTTATTGTTAAAAATTTAACCAAAAGTTCTGAAAAGCAAAGTAAGATTCTGAGGAGAATCTGCATAATTCATATAGAATCATAGAGTTGGAAGGGATCTCCAGGGTCACCTAGTCCAACCCCTTGCACAGTGCAGGAAATTCACAAATACCTCCCCCTCCACACCCACGGTGACTGCTGTTCCATGCCCAGAAGATGATATGGGGAAGGATGTATAGTTGGGCATTGCTACAAAGGCTCAATGATGTGTAAACATTAAATGCTGTTTTTGTGGCATGCATTTGGTTTTCATACTGACAGAATTTTTAAAAATCTCTTTTCTTTTTTAGCTTTTCCAAGCCTCATTTGCCATTTTCATCTCTCTATCCATCTGAATTTCTGATGCACAAGATTACTGAAGAAAACCAGATACCTGTGCACCTTCCAGTCTCTTCATCTCTTCAGTACATAGCTGGGCTAAAGGGGAAAGCCATTATGGAATTTTTCCACTGCAGCATTGCTGAGGTATTGTATACAAAAAACAATTCCTGGTGGCAGAGATTCAAGAAGAGTAACCCCATTAGTCTGTTGAACAAACCCCACCAAAACTCCTTTGGCAACATTTGTTGTAGCATTAAGTCTGTTTGTGTGATAGAGTGCTGATATTTGCAGATTCTGTTGAAATTAAATACAGCAAAACCTTCATTGTTTGATATTACCACTTATTTCATATTTACAAGCTGAACAACATTTGAGTCCAATGGCACCTTTGTTGGTCTTAAAATTTTATTCTGGGTATAAGCTTTTGTGTGTATGCACACTTCTCCTGCTTTGTTCTGCACACAGTTCTGTGGCTTCAGACCAACATGACTACCCACCAGAATCTATATTTACAAGTTATATTTGGAAGGAACTTCACCCCATAAGTGCTACCAGCAACTGATTAATCATTATTATAAACAGGCTTAAGCCTGATCAATTATAGAAACATTATAATTCATAGGCCCTTAGTGCAAAATGCTCTGGTTACTTGAAAAGACTGAAACTGGGATTTTTGAAACAATTAAAATTAGTATGAGGAGATTACCTTGTAGTAATCACCAACACAATCCAAGCCACAGGCATAAAGAAGGCACGTGCTTGGCCTTGTCTCCTTAGATACTTCTTAACAAAATCTGCACATGCAGCTGTACTAGAACAGTTGACTGATTTGTATTGCCAATATTATAGGTGGAGAATGAAGAGCTGAGACATCTCATGTGGTCATCTGTTTTGCTTTACAAAGTTCCTGATGTGGAAGTCACAGCTTGTGTACTACTCTCAACTAAAGCTATTTACTTTCTGTTGGATGATAATGTGATTCATTCCAATGAGCATCATTTGGGTAAGAAAATCAGCCAATTCCTGGTTTATCCAAAAACGGGAAAAACTAGCATCACAGAGGTCCCAGATATACAAATTCCACAAGGAGAAATACCATCAGAAATAGCCAAAATATAAACTGTATTTAACAAATATAAAGTTGGTGGTGTCAGAACAACAAAATTAAGTGCATGCTATAACTCTAATAAAGCATAAGATACAATGTTTCCACCTTAGAAGATAAGATGTAAAGTCCATGTAATCAGTTGAACGATAGGAGGAGTTTTTGAGGAGGGAGCCGGGGGGCCCCCACCAGCCAATCAAAGTTAATTAAATTAAGCTGTCACCTGGAAAGATACTCCCAACCCCGGCCCACACGCCCTGCACGCTTGGAGGACGGGGGGGCTGCTCACCTGGTCCTCATTGCGCAAAGGGCCAGGTGTGTGTGTGTGTGTGAGTGGGGGGGGCTTGCAGTTCCTGCAGCCAGGCAGAAGTGAAACCCTTCCCCTTCCTCCAGTCAAGGAGCTCCGCCGGCCGGAGAGGAGGGCAGGGGGTCATCCCCGTCCAGCGGCTGTCCGCAGGGGAGACCTGCCAAGGGGAGCCGGCTCCGTCGTGGGGCATCCGGAGGGGGGGCGGCCGGAGCACTGGGGGGGCTGGACTTGGGAGCACGGCGACACCCCGGCGGGCTTACTCGGGAAGTAAACCCCAAGGAGGAAGCGCGCACGGGAGGGGAACCTGACGGTCCATTTCTAGGGGTGGGGGTTTGAATTCCACGGCTGGATCGTTGGATTCGAGTCCAGCTGCAGCGCCTGAAAAAAGCCAGCAAGAGTTTCAGGGCCCCAGCGAGGGGCCGCCAGCAGCACCGCCGCTGGAGGAGGAGGAGGAGGGAGCACGAGAGCCAGCCAGAAACCTTGGCTCGGCACTTGGGTTTTGGGGTTTTTTTGTTGTTTTTTTGTTGTTGTTTTTTGAGGGAGCAGCAGTAGGCGGGGGGAAGAGGGAGCTGAGGATTGGAGGGGGGCCATAAAAACCGTGGGGGGGCGGGCCCTGTGGGCACTACAAGCCTGGTCTACACAGTCATAACATTTTCCAAACAGCCTTTGCAAAGACATCCGTTCTAGATACTTAAAAGATGCGTTTCCTTCAACAGTTTATATTTTGGCAATTTCTTATGGTGTTTCTCCTAGTGGAATTTGTATATCTGTGAATTCCTGGTTTCTGACAATGTCTGTAAACAGGATTGATAAGGATGCTTGGGATTAGAACAGGGGTTGATCAACTTTCCCAGCTTTAGAATCTGCAGTTCCTGCCTTGATTGTATGATGGAGTGAATCTGATGCTATATTTTGGCAGGAAGACTTAGTCAGGAGTTTGCATAAACTGCAATTCTGCAGAAGCACAGAAACAGTTTAGAAATAGTGCTGAATGCAGAAGACAGAAGGAGGAAGGAGTGGAGATTTACCCTTTTCAGAGTTAAAAGTTTGGGGCAGAACTACACAGTACAAGCAAATCACAGGGGTTGGTTCCCAAACATTTTCCTCACAATACTAATGTGAAGATGGGGGGAGTATTTGTAGGAGAGAAAAAACAAACAGGAGTGGGATTGTTAACCCTTCCCTCACCAGTTCTCCATTGTAGTCCCTCCAGTGATGTGTTTCACACATTTTTGCCTATCAGGCTCCAAGGCTGAAAAGGGGTGGGTGTAAGGATGGCTTCAAAAGGGGGGGAAAGAATGAATCAGTAGTAAATCAGTAGGTAGGAAAAGCACCCTTGCTGTCCACTGATGCTCTCTCCCTCTCACTTATCTGACATGCATGCATACACGTGTGTGGTTTAAGAGTCAGACTGCCAGTCACATCGATGATTTTCTTAACCAAAGCAGCCATTGGGGGTGGGGCTGTGATCCTGGTGGAAGTTTAAGACATCTGTGCCACATGCCATTTTCCTGAGAGAAATTGCCTTCCAAACTTGAGAGCTGTTATAAGCACTAATAAGAAAAAAGACAGCTCCCCTGTTGTACCAGTCTTTTTTCCCCAACCGAGGCTAGTAGTAGCTCTTGCAGGTAGAGGAGCGATTTTTCTTGGCAAGCAGTGCAGGGGGGAGTTAACTCTGTTTTCCTGATACCATGGCTCTGATCCAAATCTCTTCTTTCCCAGCTGCTTTTAAAAGAATGTTAGGAGCAGTGTTCCCTCTAAGCTGAGTTAGTGTGAGCTAGCTCACACTAACTCAGCTTAGAGGGAACATTGGTTAGGAGATCCATTCACATAGCTTGGCCTTAAGCAAACATGGGAGTACAGATTTTCCAAAGTAATTGTGTTCTTATAAGGAGCACATTTCAAGTAAAGTTATGAAATGTAATAGTAATTCTCGTGAAACCTTAAAGTATATTTACATAAAGTTACTAATCACTATATGTTCTCTGTTCAATAGATTTTTGGAACAAGGGTCCATTGGAACATAAATTCAGCTCTTTCCATCTTTCTTGTTGCTTAGTTATAAAATTGAACGATCTGCACTCTGTAAACATTGGCCTTTTTGATCAGTATTTTCGACTTACTGGTAAGTAAATATGTGTTAGCCTTGCTTTTCTCTTCCCTTTGTTCTCTCATCTATCAGAATTTAAGTTGCATGCTTCTTTCTCTTTTGTGTAAAATGTAAACTTTATTGTGTATATTGATAGCTTTGTGTAAATAATAAATTATCCTTATACTGCTGCCACAGTTAAGCTTCAGTACTGATACTGTTCAGTCTGTCATCATGATTAACCACATTTTATGCTTTATTGTTTTTACTAAACATAGCTAAAAGGGTGTTTGTTTTTCAACATGTTTTGATTATCTTGTGCTCTTACTGGGAAGGCTTTTCATGATTTCTTTCAGCTCAAGCATTGAGTTCCAGAGTGGAAAGTATAAAAACTAAACAAAAGAACATTTTTTTAATTAATTACAGTTTTCCTCCTTCAGCTTTCTCCATTTACAACCTGATGTACGATGGAGGTCATGTAACAGGAACTGCAATGTCCTTTAAGTCAAGCTTCATGACTGTTGTTTTCAGAATTGTAAGCGAGCCAAAGATTTTATAGTGTTTTTCACAACACTTTTTAAGGGTATTTCTCTGACCATTCCTGCAGTAAATAACAGAAAAGTAGGGGGATGACCGGAAATACCCCATGGACAGGATTGAAGACAGCCCCGTGAATGCCTGGGCACTCCTTTACAATCTGTCTCCAGAATGCTGCTGTGTAGATACAGAAAGTATTACACATAAGCTTGACCTTGATGTATTTTTAAAAGTTTCTAACTTCATTATGTTAGACTGTTGGAAACATTTTGCCCTCAGCAGTGGTGTGCAACAATCAGTGGAGGTGGCTTAGTAATATATTTAGAAGAACAAGCAAGAAAACGCCACTAATAAAATACTTGTCTCCGTGAATGATGTGACACACATAGAGACTGTCAGCAGAAAAAAGCACTAGTGACAAGGACAGTGCAGATGACAGAAGCAAGTAACCAGTGCATCAGAAATTTCCAAAAGAATAGTAGGAAATAGGTATTGCCTGAAAAATCACAATAAAGGTGTTAATAGAAAATTTCAGCTTTTTGGGCTCTTGTTTCCGCTTTAGGACATTCAGCAGAGCATATACTAACTTGCCTAACCAGAGACAGTTACAGTACTCACGCCTTTATTCAGCACCTCATGGCAGTGCTCTCATTACTTGCAAGGACACCATCTCCAGAGCCAGTGGATAAGGACTTCTATTCCGAATTCGGGGGGAAAAATACAGGTAAAATGATTCCAAATAATGTCATAATAGGAGTAACTGATGCCCTTTGCCATACTGTTTAGGAGAATGTTCATATGCACATGGAATATTTTTCTTTTTAAGATTCTGTCATAAGGAGGGGGGGACATTTAGTGTATTGTCATCTCAGGTAGATAAGGAGTGCTCCTGTTCAGGATCTTGGGAAGTCAAAAAAGACCCCTAAGATTTATCTGCAGTTTTCCATAAGCAGAAGTTCAGGGAATCACCCATATCTTGTTCTGAGCAGCAGATTGGGAATCTATTGCACGCTGCTGTCTTTTCTGAGATTCAGCAAGGATTAGGGAGATTTCCTTCTGCTTTTCTTGCAGAAGCAAAAGAGAATCTCTTGACTGTATGGGTAGCCTGAGAGAAGCAGGGAGTTCTCAAATTCTTCTTTTTCCATCTTCCCCAATTACAAGGGCCACTTATGCACTGTCATTTTTGTCCCTCGTTTTTCCCTATTGCTTTGAGTCCCCCCCCCCCTCCACATGTATTTTGCTTCCTCTGGGACTGCTACAGGAAGTCTGACCACTTTGCTCTGAAGGTCCGGCTGAGCATACCATGCCCCCTGTGTTTAGGTGGCGAGTGCATTTATGCTCGCCCGCAGAGTCAAACAGACCCTAATTTGCTTCAGGAAGCTCTGCGGGATCCAATGCCCCCTGGAGTCTTGTTAGATGAGCTGGTGGAAGACTGGGATAACTGGCTGTCTGAAGCCATCGACGAGATTGCCCCCCCGCACCAAAGCAGGACCATGGTATACCACGGAACTGTGGAGGATGATGTGGGAGCTAAGACGGCTAGAGTGTAGGTGGCGGCGTGCTCATTATGAAGTTTCACGAACATCTTATAGGACGCTTATGAAAGCCTATGAGATGGCAGTGAAGGCCACAAAGAAGGATTTCTACGCAGCCTCCATTGTGTCTGCAAGCTCGCGCCCAGCCCAATTATTTAGAGTGATTTGGTCTATTATGACTCTGCCTTAGGGCAGACCAAATAGTAGGAAATTGGCTATTGGCTGCAAGGCATTTGAGTTATTTCACTGATAAGGTCATGACACTCCACCAGGACTTCCCGGCCACAATTGAGACAGTAAAGGAACTAGAAACCCCTTGTCCATCTTCTGGTCCACTACTGGACAACTTCATTCGACTCACCCGGGAGGAAATTGACAGGATCCTGGCAGCAGTGAGGCCTACTACCTGCCTCCTTGACCCATGCCCTTTCTGGCTAGTGAAATCTTGTGGGGAGAGCATTTGGGCCCCTCTGGAAGAAATCATCAACTTGTCCCTTTCTACTGGGACTTTTCCAGTGGCTTTAAAGGAGGCAGTAGTCAGCCCGCTCTTGAAAAAGTCATCATTGAACCCAATGGTTCTGACCAGCTACTGCCCAGTGTCGAACTTACTGTTCATCAGCGTGGCTTCTGTGCAGTCCCACATGGGACTACACTTACACAGGCCAGCCACTGGGAGGAGCTAGCGAGTTCTAAAAACTTATCTTAATTACCCAAGAAGGTTCTTCGCTTCTCTGCTACGAGAAGAAGAGGTCCTCTATATTTTAAAGTTGGGGATGGTCAACTAGAATGGGTTTCCTCTTTCCCATATATTGGTATTGTCTTTAGTTATAATCTATCCTGGTCCGCTCATCTGACGTACGTCAAAAAGTCATCTAGACTTGCCACGGCACTGGTTGAAAGATTCTTCCGTACAAAGGGGGCTAAGCGGATTCCCCCTGCCATCGAGGTGTATAATGCGAAGGTGGTCTCCCAAATTTTATATGGCGCAGAAATCTGGATTGCTGGCGTGGACGAGAAATTGGATTCCCAGTTAAACGCCTTCCTTAGGAGAATTACTGGAACTCCACGGTGTGTTGCTGGGACTGTCCTTCGTATGGAATTGGTTCAATCTTCGCTCGAAGCACGTGCTTGGAAAAGGGCATTCAAGTTGAGATTTAAGCTATCTGACCCAAGTCATCACCCCCAGGCCGGTTTTCTTCGTCTCATCCTAAAGGACACGACATCCAACCCTTGGTTGTCCCTTCTGGCGGGTAAACTCAAGACATTGGGAGTTCCGATTTCCTCACCTACTGAAGAGCTGTTGCCCTCCCAGCTCGAGGAAACCTTGAAGAAACTCAAACAGTTGGATTGGGCTAGCACCGTG